ATTTCTTGGAAGGTTTTCCTTCTGCTCTTGCCATTGTATTCGTTTTACTTTAACATGTTTCTTCTTTTTCACGGGCGGGGGTGGGGGAAGGGAGGGGAAAAGAGAAGCAAAGAGGAACAAGAAAGATATGTTCCATGTTCCTATTGTGTTCTGGGGGGTGGGGGGCGCACAAGGCATCTAGAAAAGGAGTGATGTAGCTTAGTCCATTAGACCGATTTAGAAGCTGGGTATTTACAAACTTTGAAAGACCTACTTACAGGGATGTGGTCCATTGTCACAGAAGATGCTTAGTCATTGCAGTCAAAGACTGAGTTGCTACTCTTGCCTGAGTCATACTTTGTTAGGGCTTAGTGTGTTGGGTGAATTAAGCCCTCTTGCTCTGTGCACGATTCAATATAGTCACTACAGCTCATTGTATACAATGTATACATTGTATCATTAAATCAGGTAAGCATGTTGTACCGCATATGTTCTTTGCTTGCACAACATGCTTAATCAAGTAAGCATGTTGTGCAAGCAAAGCTACAATGAATGCCCTTTATTTTCTCCCATTTCTCCCAGTCTGTTTCATTAGGATGCCTCCTACAGCTTCCCCTGGAAAGGGGGGGGGGGACTCATAGTTTTGTCCTAAGGTTTTGCCCTGATGACACCACCAAGTTTGGATAACTGACAACTGGTATTGATAGGGAACCATCTCCCATTACTGGCGTTTAATTGGCTATACCGAAGGCGAACAGGCTCTGACCACTAATGCTCTCAGTGTGGGGCCTTTTGGCTTTTGTATGAACAGCTAGTGAGGCCTTTCCTCTGATCCTGCACATTCCTTCTTGTGGGTTTTGAGGTCTTTCAGGCCATCCCCTTTCCTGATTATTTGCCTTGCAGGCAGAGACTGCAGGAGTTGAAAACGATGGATTCCCTTATGCAGAGAGGTACCCATTGGCTAAATCTTCCCAAGGGAAAGGAGAGAGAGAGAGGAAAAAAAATGATACAAAAAGGATTAGCTGAGAATTGATTAACACAAGGGCAGACAATTAGTTTACTCCAGGTTTCTGGTTGCCCTTCATTCACATCAGCATATTTGCTAGTCAGGACCCGATATTCAAATGGGATGTTGATTTCAGTAGAAGTTCAGGAATGGGACTGCTTTCTTCTTGCTTCTGCAAGCCAGTAAGATTTAAGCATAAAAATAAGTATTGTGTTTGTGTTTATTGGGCTACCTTCTCTCCGTGTTCAGATGGGTAGAGGAATATTACTCATGGGGTGGGGGGGAAACCCTACGTAGCACAGATCCAGTTAAGAATCTGGTTTCCAACGGTGGTCAATCAGGACAGCCCTTGTATGCACCATACAATTAATATTGATAGTAAAGAATCTTTTGGTGGACAAAAATAATGATAAAAATTAATAAACTGACTGAGCCATTAATTCCACTTCAAAACAAAATTCCTTCAATATTATACGTTCAATTTTACTTTTTATTATGCAAGTAGGGGGGTGTCTAAATAATAGAAATAGAAGATGTGCCTTGTCCAACTCTTAAATTTTGCTTGGCCTAGCTTTATACTTCAGCTCAAAAAAAAAAATCTTTAACTTCTCTTGCATAAGATCTTTAAGTTCTGTCCAAACTCTAACCTGGCTTTCCCAACCTGGAGTCTTCCTGCTGGCTTGGTCTACTTTTCCATCACCACTGGTCCAGTAGTCAGTGACCCAGTAGCCACTGACCAGTAGCTCAGAAAAACTGGAGGACAGGATATGACAGAAGGCTGCCAATTTCTCTTTCCCTGCCCTTTATTCCAAGGAGTCTCAGCTGCAAGATGTTGACCCAACTCTTCTCCAAGATCACTAAAAAAATAAGCTGATTTAACGCACTAACACTAACATGTACAGAATAATTGCATACATAATTGTAGATCACTTCACCCAATTATCCGGGGATGGAAGTCATAAAAATAAGTTGGGCTTGCTCCTGAGCAGTTAAGAACAGGACTGCACTCTAATATGATAAGATTGCACCTACCAGCACATTCACCATACTTATATTGAACCCCATTAATTCTCATCGAGCACATTGGACTTAATAATTACCATGCACTAAAATTAAACAACTCATTTCTGAGCAGGTATGTCCACGTTGACAAGGTAAGGTCACTTTAGTAAGCACATTTATTTGGACACAATTAGAGTCCATTACTGTGTAGACCTGCCAGGGTAGGACTTTGGGGCAGAAGTCCAGAATCCCGCTGAGCAAAATGAACAGGAAGGGGCCAAAATAGAGCAGCCCTGGGTTGTTGCACGTTGAAAACAATTAAGTAATTTCATGCAAGCCAAGCACATTTTTAGCCCAGCCTGTTTATGATTCAGAGTACACAGAGAAGCCTGGACATTAAATTAATTCAGTCACCCATGGTAAAGCTAACTAGGGGTAAGCAAGCCCTACAAACACAACCTCTGACATTTAATTGGGGGGTGGGTGGGAGTTAAGATAATTAAGCCCAGTTACCCAACTTTCCTGCAGTGGTGCTCTGCTGGATGACAATTTCTGCTGTATTCAAATCAATGGAAATTCTGTTTTGGAGTTCAAGAGGAGCAGAGTCATGCCCCCTTTTACCATTTCATTCTTACAGCTGAGTCCTTCTTGACCATTCATTTTTGGGGGCTAAGATAGTGTACAAAGGATCAGATCTGTATTCTTAATTTTCCCCACAGTACTTCCTAGAATATTTGAGATTCCTTTTTTCCTCCAACTCAACATTTATCTCTTGATTGCATGAAATCAACTCAAGTTTTCTTTGAGATTTTTGATGACTTCATGGACATGTCCATATAGTTTTTAAAGGAACAATAAGGAAGTTATTTGGTACTGTGTCCCTCTGGGATGCTTTTTCAACTTCTCAGACTAAGCTGAGTTAACATCAGCAGACAGTCCTGCTGTCCTGGGCTTTGAGTTCCAATAAAAAGGAAAAGGAAGTGACACAAGTAGGTGCACACATGCAGGCTTATTTCACTTGTTTGGATTTCTCTGCCCTGTGGAACTGCCCTGTAGTTCTTTCAGGTTCTTTTTAAATGAAGAAACTTCTACCCTCAAAACTACGCTATAGAGCACTGCATACCAGAACAACTAGACACAAGAACAGTCCCCCCCACAACACCATCACTCTGCTAAACAAATAATTCCCTCAACACTGTCAAACTATTTACTAAGTCTGCACTACTATTAATCTTCTCATCGTTCCCACCACCCATCTCCTTCCACTTAAGACTGTATGACTGTAACTTTGTTGCTTGTATCCTTACGATTTATATTGATATTGTTTCCTGATTGCTTATTTGTACCCTATGACTATTATTAAGTGTTGTACCTTATGATTCATAATGAACGTATCTTTTCTTTTATGTACACTGAGAGTCTATGCACCAAGACAAATTCCTTGTGTGTCCAATCACACTTGGCCAATAAAAAAAATCTATTCTATCTATTCAAATGAAGAAAGAGAGACTTACCCAGACTCAAAGAACACTTTCCCTGACTCTTGAATTTGGATGTGTGATAGACAGGTACATAAAGGAATTTCTTTTCCTTCATTCCTAAATCAAAAGTAATGTTATTTTTTTAAGCAATGAAAGAAAAGTTCCACCTCCAGTCCCTAGGCAGAGAAAATAGCCATGAAAAAATGCAGGTGGCCAATGGTGTGGTTTCCTGGGATGGTGATCTCCAAAATCTGGATTCCATCCAAGAGGATGGTGTGTTGGCCCAAGCTGTCAGGTTCCAGGGCCGGCTGGTTCCAGGGCTGGAGCTGACACAAGCCTCAAAGGAACAACAACAACAAGAAAAAAAAAACTCACAAAAAAACAGAAGGGGCAGAGAATCTCTTATTTTTTTTCCTCCCTACGCTTGCCTGGAGATCAACACTTTATGATTCTCAAGTTTAGTATCAGAATCATTCATTCAGCTCATCCAATGAGCAGGCCCATCTCAATCTCAAGAGATCACGAGCTGAAGCAAAGCACTTCCTACTAAATCCTGCCTATCCTTGTGGACACCCAAACTTGATATTCTTCTATCTTTTGCCAAGAAATACAGCACTAAGTCTCTATCTTTCTTAGCTCTCAGTTAACTTTCTTCAATTAGTTCCCTTTCCCATCCACCTAGCATCTTCAAATATTGTATCTGTTTCGTGGGCTCTTTTTGGAGCTGGGTGAAATCAATTAAACGGAGATTTTAGAGAATATTTCTCCCTAGAAGAAAAGAGAAAGGCCATCCTAGTCCCTCTGCAAAGGGTTCTGCCAAAATGTCAGGAATTGCTGTTTTCTCCAATTCTTGCTTCTTAGGTGGAATTCTTTGCCATAAAGTTCTTCAGGGATATTAGAACTAGAAAAAGAATTGACACTTTAAAATAAAATATTAATATAAAACAGCATTCACTTTTTCTGAAAAGTAAAGTTAACTGAGTTCCTTCAGCAAGTCTAGAATTAAAAGCTTTGCCTATATTTAAGTCTTCTGCTGGAATTTAAGGCATTACATGTCTCTGAGAAAGTCAATCTACCAGTACTTTACATTTTTCCTGACCTCTTCATATCTGTCCATCTGTCTATCCGTTCCACTAAACCTTCTCCCTTCGGTCAGGGACAGCTTTCCAACCAAGTTCCATTCAAAGATCCGCCTTGCCTATTTCTCTCCCCCACCCTTTTTCATTGTTAAAAAGTATTTGAACTTGAGGTCTGTATGCCAGGGGGTGGGGTGGGGGAAGAAGCTGGAGAATGGGCGGATGGGGCTCAGGAGTACAGTCTAGACCCCCCCCCCGCATCCACTTCTCTGAAAGATCCCCGGGAGGTGGCTCTTGTCCCCTCCCTATCGTTGATAGAAAGAAGGGGTCTAAACCCTCTCCCACCCACTCCTCCGGAATATTTGTCACTGCTTGCCCATCACAGTGGGGGCTGGCGAAGTTTGACAGCTCTTTGTTGTCTGTAGAGCAGGAGGAGGAGGAGCAGGGGGCTGGTGGCAGCTCTTGGGTGAGGACTCCTCCTCCTGAATTATCCAAACTGGGTTGGCTTCTGTCTCCAACAAATTGGACAGAGCTCCAGCAAGCAGCAGTCCCACATCCAAGCAAGAGCAACAGGAACTTTCTAGCAAACGGAGATCTCTGCTTTAACCTGCCCCCATCCCTCTCATTTCCCTATATTGTTTGGCTTTTCTTTGTCTTTTAACCTCTCCCCCCCCCATCCTCTCCCCTTTTTTTTGCGTGAACCATTTTTTCGTTATTGTTGTCTCTGTTTGCTCAAGCCTCAACTTCGTGTCTGCGTTCTCTTTCTTTCTCTCCCCCCTCCCCGTTTCCCCTTCTTCCCCTCCCCTTTGCATCCGTCCCGTTCCTTGCCTGCCTTTCTTCAGGAAGGAGCCCAGTCTTTTGCACCGGCCAGGCGGGGGAAAGACCCCCAAGATCATTCCCGCCAGTCGCCGCTCGGCAGCCTCCCACCAGTTTTCAGCTGCTACCTGCCTTCTCTCCGGAGCCACGAAGCTTCTCCTGCGGGCTCGTCCCATCGCCCGGCGATTCGGATGCTCTAAACCAAGACTCTGGGGCCTGTATATGGAAATAGTGGGGTGCCGAGCCGAAGGAAACGCGTGTCCCTTCCGTTCCCCAGCCATGCTTTTCCACGGCATCTCCGGAGGCCACATCCAGGGGATCATGGAGGAGATGGAGAGGCGGACCAAGACCGAATCCCGCCTGGCTAAAGCGGGACAGATGAATGGCCGGGAAGCGGTAAGAAGTGGCGGAAAAAGTCGGGGGTTTTTACAGAAGAGATGAAGGAAGGGTGGATTTTGTGTGTGTGTGAGAGAGAAAGACCCCCCCTCCCAATCCTAGAAGTAAGGTAACTGGAACCTCCCAGGGACACTGGAATGTCTTGTGTGTGCGCGCGCGCCTATATGAGAACGCCCAGATAGACGTTCTTAAAGTCTCACTTCCAGGTATATTTGTCAAAAGAGTAGTTTCCAGTTGTCTTTTTAAAAAGACGTTAATCACTTTCCCCCCCTATTTTAAAATCACAATTGTTTCTTTGCATCTGGGCTATTTTTTTAAAAAAACAACAACAACAAACAAGCTCAGAGATAGGCATTATAGCGTGATCATAAAGATATTTTATTCAGGAGTAAATTCTATTGAGTTTGTAAGGTCAGGTTTTCAAGTCCCAAACTATTTTGTAAAAGTGTGGGTGTTTTGTGTGTGCGCGCGCAGGCGGGTGAGCAGGACCCAACGCAAGATCTCCAAAAACATTCTCCAGGGAAAGGGAGGCGTTGCTCCCGAATGAAACTGATTAAAGGCGATTTGTCATCCTCCCCCCTGATCGCCCGTCTAGTTTTCCCTAGCTAACTTTCCTCTTGAAAAGTGTTTAAGGTGTTTGGATTCCACCCAATTGCTTGAATATCAAGTTTCGGTTCTTTCACAAGCCCGGCCCCTATCAAGATTAGGAAGCAAATTCAGGAAAGTTTGCTTAGTTGAGGAGCTGCGACTTGCCATTTTGAAAACGAGGCATTTGGAACTGTCATTTTCAAGGGCAGTTTCACGAAATGAGAAATGAACTTCGCGAGGCTCAATGTCATTTGCTTTCTGAGTAAGTTTAGAAGGAAGGCTTTTAAGGAGAGCCTGTAAGAAGAAAGGGCTCTCAAGGGGCAAGAGACTCTAAACCCAACAGGCTTCCGAACGAAATTGTTTAGAAGATTTGAGGGCTACCAAATTTACTCCCAAGTAAGTTCAATATCTTTTGGAATGACTCAGATGTCTTTTATATTCCAAATCATTTATAAAACAAATAAGTGCAACAGAGGAGAATTATGCATTTTGGTGGCTTTCAAACAAATTAATTTTAGTTATATTATTCGGGTGCTGCTGAAGATTCATTCTAACTTCTTGTATTGGAAAAAAAAATAAACGTTTACCTTCGCTTCAGTTCTCTGGTTCGCTCTAAAGGCTACAACTTGTAAAAAGTAACACTGAGGCTGAGCCAAATCGACAAAACGGAATAAACAATTAGGGCTCAGTCTCCCTCCCACCCCACCCTCAGATTTATTTTTCTCTTTTAAAATGCCTAATAATTGAAGTCGTTCTGAGCGTTAAGCAGAAAAGCAGAACAGTTTCTTACTAGATTCCAGAACTCTAAATTAAGTCGAGGAACCCCAGCGGCAAGAAAAGGGACTTGGGTGTGTGTATGTATGTGACGGGTAAACAAGGACATTTATTTCCTTTGCTCTGAAATCCCAGAATCTCCGGTGCATTCATGAAGAATACAAGTAAGAGTCTACCGAAAGTTATGATTCTTTGATTCCAAGCACAGCAGAGACCAAATTCATTAAGGCAACAGTTTCGTTATCATTTCAATTTCTTTATGTTTTATGGGGGGGGGGAGGAGAATAAAAACCCAAATAATGAAGAAGACAAGGGGGGGCGGGGGGGAACCAAAGCCATTGGTTTCATTTGTGGTTCTGCCACTATTCCTTGTGCTTCGTAGGTTCAACCCTTTATATATTTAATCTGTGGGAAATTTTACGTTGTTTTCCAAGTGGTTTAAATCTTCCTCTTTCCTCTCTTAAATACAAAGGTAATCTGGAAAAGATTTTGTGTGTGTGTGTGAAAATAATGATTAGTTCCCGAGTCCTTATAACAAACTTACAACCTGTTTTAACGGGCCACGTGCTTGAACTGTCTTTCTACCCGTTGACCTTCCTAGTGGACATTCCCAAAATCCAGGTAGTAAGGACTTTATAAGGCTTATATTCCTTCCCCCCACCTTTTCTCCTTAAGTAAACAACATCCTGAAGGGAGCAAAAGATGAAACGATGCTTCCTTTTGACTTTCCTTCAGTAGTCTGACACTTTTTTCAAAATGTGTTCTGGAGTTGAGCCCAGGTCAAGAAAATGAAAGTGAATGACTCGGGCAGTAGACCTCCCTGCCCGCCCCTCCCCCGCTCCCAAGCACGCTGCTTCAAGCTCACATCTCAATCTGTCCCGGGGTGGTTTTCTCAGATATAAATCCCCAAAGCGCGCTTTGAAAAGGAATCAACTAGAACCCGGCCTTTTGCGCTCCTAGGAAGCGAAGCAGCGGAGCTCGCCCTCGCTAGATTTTCTGCCTTACTCTCGGGCGCATCCCTTGGCTGCACGAAGGCCGGAAAAGTTATTTTGGTCCGGGACGAAGGACCAGATATAACGAGGGTTATATCTTCTCTGAGCAGAATGTAAACCCTACAATTGAAACTCATCCCTAGGATTCAGACCACCATCACCCCTCCAGCAACCAGTATCTTCCACGTCAAAACGCCGGCTTCTCGCAAAAGCGGCTCTATGCAACGGGCGGGAGTGAAAGGCAAGCGAAGCAGCAAGCGGGAGGTTGCCAGTTCCTGCTTGAGGCAGAGTCCGCTTTAGGCTTGGGAGAAATCCAACAGTTTCTTCCAGCAAAAGGTCTTTCTGGGAAGCCAATCTAAGCCAGAAATTTTGACTTCACCCACCGCATTTTCTAGGCAGTCCTCAGTTTCCCGAGGACTTAAGCAGCCTTGTGTGAACGCAGCCATCGCGCTCTGCCAATGGAGGGCGAAAAGATGAGTGAGTCCGAACAATTGTGGTATATTCGGTAAGCCAGAGAGCTTAATGTTGGATAAATCCAGTCGATGGAGGGGATCCGGATTTATTGTGCAGTAAAAAAGCTTATACCTAACTATATCGAACTACATATAATAGACTTCAACAGGACTTACTCGCAGGTACATGGAACGAAGCTAACGCCCGTTAAAACCTAGGGGACAGAAATAATAATTCCTAGCCTCCTTAGGTCTCCACAGAAATGAAACGGCACTAAATATTATACAAACCACGGAAATCCAGTAGGTTTGTGTAGATAAACCTTTAGCTAAGGCTCGTTACACATGCCTTCTGATTTTGGTTAGAAATATCTCTGCTATTGGTTTTTTTTTTTTTTTTTTAAAGGCTGAAATAGTACACCTAATTAGATGTTGAGCTTGTAAGATTTTGCCCGACGCGCTGACATTTGCTTCCCTCTGCAGAACATGCCTCCGCTGAGCCCCGAGAAGCCTGCCCTGTGCGCAGGATGCGGGGGCAAAATCTCCGATCGCTACTACTTGTTGGCTGTGGACAAGCAATGGCACCTCCGCTGCCTGAAGTGCTGTGAATGTAAACTGGCTTTGGAGTCAGAACTCACCTGCTTTGCCAAGGACGGCAGCATTTACTGCAAGGAGGATTATTACAGGTAACAGCTCGCAGGTGGGTGGGATGGGGTGAATAAGATGGGATGATTGAGTTGCATGAGCGTCTCTAGGCTCCGAACTTTCCTGAGAAAAATCATCTAGGGAGCATTCATTCATATTTGCAGGACACGTTACTTTTCCTCTCTTGGTTACTTGAGGTTAAGTTTATGCAGGTATAAATGTCCTTGGCAGGTAACTAGATGCACTGCCCCTTTTTTGGGTGGAAAATTAAACACTATAAGGGAATATCAGGATTTTATCTCCCACTGAAAACAGAGAAATGACACCCAGCATCGACTCAATTGCCTTGTTGGAAATTATGGTAAAGGCAATTCACAGAGGTGCTTCCCACCTCTGCTCCCCACAAACAAACATTTTGCCTCTATTGGAAGAAAGGGAGGAGTGTCATCAAGTGATTTAAAATCGTGTCCCAGATATGGTACTAAATCTGTTCCTACCATCATTTCTCACCACTTCCTCCATGAGAAGTCTAGATTAGTGCTTGGTTAGTGGAAGACCATTTGAAAATGTGCACATTCCCCTTTGAATTGGATGCCTTGTGAAAAGGCCCTCAGAAGCACAGGTGGAAAAATCCAGGGCAGAGATTCCCTACTGGGAAGCAGGGATTTTACTTACTGCTGGGAAGTAACTGACAAGCAAGGCCTTCTCTGCTCCATCCAGCTTTACAAAATGCCTTTTTCCTATAGGAAGAGCCGGTTGTTTAGAACAGCGACAGGGCAAAAGTCAAGCCACCAGAAAAGCCGCTTGCCAAATACTTTCCCCAAGAATCAGTGCAACATCTCTGCAACACTAGTGACCTCTTACTTGCATTGCACCTGTGAACTCTTACAGATTGTGTGTTCATGCAGTTCGCTTAATCGGGTCAGGAATGCATGAGCGGAGGGATTCGCACAACCTGTTAAACTGGATTAGTGTTAATGTTAGTAAAGGCTGGGTGAATAGCGGACACAAGTGCAGGCCATTTTGAATAGGTTATGTTTCAATGTATTTTGCCTATTCAGAAAAAAGGTTAACTAAGTAACCAGGTTAAGAGACCATATCCTCTGCAATCCTCTCCGCAGTGGGCCCTTGCTGTGTTCTTTCCTGAGTTATGGTTGGAGTGCTGTTGATCTACCCATTCCTTAACTAGGGCCTGGAAGGAAAGGCTTGGCACAGGAGCTCTCCCGCTGGGCAGTCTGCTCTACTTTGCTTGTTAATGAGAAACTGCCCTTTGACTAGCCTGGCTATAGCCTATCTGTTAAAGGGATATATTCAAATTTTACCAGACTCCCTTCCCAATGTGCTGAGCGAGTATTTCCCATTTTTATTGTTGTGTTCCAACAGAGCCTCAAGCATCCTTGGAACCATTTCCTATTCATTTCACAAAAACTTCTAAGATGTCCACAAAATGGGACATGCTCCTTATTTACTAAGCACTAAATACCCTTGAATTCTGTGAGATCTATTTCCAAGTAAGAATGAGTTAGAGCTGCCAATTTTATCTTATACCTACTAAAGGTAAGAAAGGAGCCAGGGTATGCTTTATGTTTAGCTTTATTTCTGATATTTTCAAAAAGATACATTCCTAAACTTAGAATTAACTTTAAGCTTTATTTCCAATGTTAGCTTTTTTCAAACAACCAAAGAGTGACTTTGAATTACTTTTCAATTTCAATTTCATAGGATCCTTACTAAAGAAGGATCATGTTCCAGTGTAAAGCGTGCTATTATTGGTTATTATATATATATACCAGACAGATCTTTTTCAAAGATTACCCATTCATTTGAATGGTGCTCCTCTGCGAATGGATAGAAGATTCCCAACGTTTATCTGGAGCCAGAATAGTAGAGCCTGCTTAGGATCCATATTTCATACCCCCAGGCCAAACGCCTTGTTGTGGTAATAAATCCCACACTCAGGGAAGAAGCAAACTCTGTATGCAGCCCCCTTTCGCCCGGAGGGGACCAACACTAAGCCGATGGGTAGGGAGGCCCTCTTTCTTTGCTGTTCTTTGATTGTACCCTGCAGGAAAGAAGCTTTGCCTCTCTCTGGCTTCTGGGCTTGCCGGGTGAATGCTCTCTCCACCTGAGAAATCCCGAAGGAGCTTAGTTATATTGAGCCAGAAAGAGCATCCCCGAGCACACACAGAGAGCATATGCTTGCAGACCTGGGATTGCAGTTAATAGGGATATTTTGGGTGGTCAGTTTGGGAGTGGAGAGAAGAATGTGAGGCTGAGCTTCCTCGTATGCTTGAATCTCTGGCCTCCTCCCTCATTTATTACGGGATACTACTTTGGGGAACCCAGCTGACATTTCTGAGCACTGCCTTCCATTATAAAACAACCCAGCATCACTGCAAACTTGACTAGACTAGTCAACCCAGTGGGTTCAATTATTACATATGCTGATTTTTCCAGGCAAAGGTGACCAAAAGATTATTTTTCCCCATCAGCGCAGGGCAGGACATTTTTTTTTAAATTTTGGTGGACAGAGAAAACTATGTCTGGCGGGCATAGCCTAAAAATATGAGATCATAATTCCATCCCACCAGTTAAATGCTAATTTGTTTTCTATTTCTGGAGTGGTTCAGCCTTAAAAATTATGCAATTAATTCATTGATTTCCTTAATAAAATGTCATTGCTTCACAAAATACACTATACAAACTTCATTACACAAAAAACAGTTTGTGTAGGGGTGGAGGTTGGCATCTTACATTATTTTTTCGGTAGATGGAAAAGGCACCTACTTATAACATGAAAATATAGTAGGGAATTATCCTTAATTGTAATAGTACAATCCTAATCCTTGTAAATTCAAATGTAGTCCCACTGAGTTCAACAGGTAAGTGGGAATAACTGTGCAAGACCCACTATGGAGTACTCCATTAACCCAATTTTCTGGGTTAGTGGAGTACAAACAGGCAGTATTTACAGGACAAACTGAACCATCAATTAACCACGCGGGATGGGTGTACACAATATGCTTGGCCGACTGGTAAATTGAGGGTATGTGATATCCCAAGAAAATAGAACTTCCCCCAGGGGAAATTAATGAGATTTATAGGGTTTATCCCAAGCATATTTCAAAAGTAAGTTTCATAAAATTCAATGGGATCAATTCACAAAGAAGGTGTAGTTGAGCCCAGTTTAATTTCCCTCATACAATGGTATTTTTCTTCTGCCCCCACATTTGTGAAAGTTCTCCTAGTCTTTTTTGTGTACCAGATTACAAATATAAAAGAAAAGAATTTAAGAAACAGCCGCAGCACTTAAATCTAAGAATCATCTTGTTTTCATCCTCTTAAAAAAAAAATTTGTCCCTTTGAGTCACTTTTGACTCTTTTGGTTGTCTGAACAAGTCCTTGCAGCTTTCTTGGCAAGGTTTTTGGGAACTGTTTTGCCAGTTGCCTGCTTCCTAGGGCCAAGTGAGAGTGACTGGTCAAGGTTACCCAGCTGGCTTTGGGCCTAAGGTGGGACTAGAACTTAGGGTCTCTTGGTTTCTTGCCTGGCACCTTAGCCACTACATCAAACTGGATGTCCATCCCCCTTTTAAACAATGCCTATATTCTCCCCTTGTCTGTCCAACTTTAGACAGCCTTCCTTGTTTGATCTGTACAAACTGGAGTTCAGAGACAGAACTTATCCAGAAGGCCACTTTCTCCTCACTTCCTCTGGATTTAAAGAGCAGTGCAGGCTCAGATGCTTTTTGAGTCAATTATGCCCCCCTTACCCGATCTATAACTACTATGTTATTTTTCCTTGGCCCAAACTGGTTTGAGCTCAATCAGACTCAACTAATCTTCACCCTTAGTCAATCAGGCCTGAGGGGCTGAAGTGCCGGTGCCTCACTGCTCTTGGCTGGTCTCCACTAACTCATGTGCTCTTTCCCCAGAAGGTTCTCCGTGCAGCGCTGTGCCCGCTGCCACCTGGGCATCTCTGCTTCGGAGATGGTGATGCGGGCCCGGGACTCGGTCTATCACCTCAGCTGCTTCACCTGCACCACGTGCAACAAGACGTTGACAACAGGCGACCATTTTGGCATGAAGGACAACGTGGTCTATTGCCGGGCACATTTTGAGAGCCTGCTCCAGGGCACCGACCCAGCCTCCTACCCACCGGCATCACTCAGCTACACCGAGCTGGCAGCCAAGGGTGGCGGCCTGGCCCTGCCTTACTTCAATGGCACCGGTACAGTCCAGAAAGGGCGGCCTAGGAAAAGGAAGAGCCCAGCTCTGGGTGTTGATCTGGTCAGCTACAGTTCAGGTGGGTTGTAGGATAATCCTCTTTGGGAGAATCTCTCAAGGGCCCTTCACCAGAGATCTTAAACATATACTGGGAGTCATGCTTGCTTTTTCCCCCCCCTGAAGGATGCTGGACACCAGGTTTTTTTCCCCTTGCAACCCAGTTTGTGAACTGCAGAGCAGGATTTTTGTTAGATCGTTTCAGAGTTTCTCAGCTCTCCCCCAAATAATCTTTTTACTTCAACATTTAACAAATATCTTGGCAGAAATTACTGTCGGCAAGAGGCTACTGAATTAAAGGAAGAAAAAGAACATATTGCCTGTAAAATTGGCCTTCAAGCCAGAAATGAAATACGCTTTTTGAAGAATAGGATCATACATTGCACAGAAGAAAGTTCCCTTGAGGTTAAGGGAAACATAGGTTATGGAGGGAGGGAGGGGGAAAGAGAGGGGCAAGGGGGGAGAGAGAGTGGGGAGGGAGAGAGAAAGAGAGAGAGAGAGATTTTCTCAATCAATTAAATTTCCTTCGCTCAGGAACACATGGAAATATAAAATGAGTACAGGGCCAACCTCACACTGTTTATTAGGTCAAAATGTGGTTGGTTGGTTTTGCCAATCCAGTTTTTGCAATTTAGGGGATTATGTGAATCCATCCCGTATGTTTAGGATTGCAACCTGCCACTGAATTCAAACTATATTTTAGATAAATATTGCCTATACCGCTGCTTGTCTCAGTTTTATATTTGAAAGAATTCTTTAGGAAATTGGGATATGCAAATGTATTTCTTTTCTTTGCTTTCCTTAGCAACATCTTCCTACCTTGCATATAGTTTGGTCTATTTTACAATAAACGTATTTCCAGGCAAGTAGAATGAAGGCAGAAAATATGCTTTTGATATTTTACTTTTAAATATGCAAAGTACATCACTTTATGCCTGTAAAGTAAAAAGTTAAAACAAGTTAAAATATGCCTGTAAAGTTAAAACAACTTTGCAAGGTGGGAGAGTCTGATTTGCCTTCTCTAACTCTATTTTTCAAGTTGCTGAAAAATAAGGTGTTTCTTTAGACTTTAGTGTTTGTGATAGCATGGTGTTGGATCTGGGGACTTCTTAGATCAGATTTTTTTTTTTGCTTAAAATTTGCTTAAAATGCAAATCTAACAATGGCTATTTTGAATCCAATTGTTCAATAGAGCTTCCTTTCTTATAGGAAAATAAAGCTACATTTGTTTATTTGCCAAAAAGTTCTGTTCAACCAAGTCAGCATATCTGTTTCTGAGAAGAAATATTTTTAAAGAAAAGTTTTCTGGGGATGTTTAAGTTTCTGCTATTAATTTTCCCTGTAAGAAAATACTTGATGTTTTGGAATTATACAATCAATTTTTCATACTTACTAAGGTACTAATTACTTTAGTACAATCTGAAAACCTTAGTAGCACAATGCCGTCACTGTGGTGGGATAAAACCTTTCTTTCATTTATAAGTACATCGCCAGAACGATCACGCTATAGATTGCTAGTATGGCACTCTACAAAAAAATTTGAAATGCTAATTGTGGTGATGAGAATCGTGACCGCGCTATATTTAAGCAGAGTTGAAAGTCGTTCAAGTCAGAAACCACCAGCACAATCTGATCCTTAGGTAGTCCGCAGTTAGCCCCAATGAATTTCTTGGCGCTTATGCGTGAGCGGGCTGTTTCCCCGCTACTGTTGCGAAAGCACCTTTTTGAGAACCAACGTCCCTGGTTCCGAAGACTGCGGAGAACCGAAGGGACTCCGCGGGACCTTCCCTTCGTGGAGGACTCTTTGTCCGAAGAGGGCTCTGTTCGGTTCTCCTATCCACCGTGGAACTCGGCCTGCTCCAAAAGGATACAGAGGTTGCATCTATGCTCCGCACGAATTTGAACTTCTGAAAAGGCGGGAAGGGAGCAGAAAACTGATTGTTTTGGATCGGACCCTCGTGCAGGAAATAGCCAGAAGCGGGGTTCTTTTTCGAAAACGGGAAAATCCGAGGCTCTGGATTTACTTCCTTCCCTCTCCGGCGCATCGCTTTAGTACCGGGTTAGGCAGGTCTGAGATGCGCCTTAGAGCAGCGTTCGGCCGTCTGGATAAAACAAGCTAACTGTTGGGCTTGTCCAGGTCGAAGGCCTGGCGGCTGTCTTCCCAGCTGCAACACGCGAGGCTCGAAGGGGCTGGATTTTCGGGGGCTGCGCAAACCCGCTCTTTGCCCCCTTTTTTAAAGCCGGAGGTCCTGCACCAACCCAGAAAATGGGTTAATCCAGGAACCAGTCGAAGGCTTTGTCTGAAGAACCCCCTCTGTGCTGCGGGACAGAGTGCTCTCAGGCGGGGGGGAGGGGGGCAGGGCAGAAGGAAGCCGAGCTGTTTTTAATTGTTCGCTGTTAATTGGAGCTGGCACCGGCACCTCTGGCAGCGGAGCCGCTTTGAGGCCAGGCGAACGGCCAAGGGAGCGCTGGGGCGCCTCTTCCCGCCGAGGCAGGCTGGGCCGCATCCAACAGGGAGGGGCCGCCTCCGGGCGTGTCGTCCCTGGCGGCGGGGGAGGAAAGCTTGCGCCTGGGGCTAGTCTTGCTTTGAAGCGGGCAGCCCCCACTTTCTTCTCCGTTAGGAATGCGGATGGGGGAAGGGGGGGTGCAAGTTTGAGCCCCCTTCTCTAGGAGGGGGCTAAGGCGGCGGTGGCGGTTTGCTCTGGAGGAAAGCGGCCTTTCCTCGCCCCACCGCCCCAGGCCTTATTTCAGAGCGAAAGAAAGGGATCCGAAGTCAACCAGCTGCTTCTGAACAGCCTCACCTTTCCCAGGTTTACTCAAAAGTAAGTCACTTAACTCTTAAGCTTCGCAAAATGGCCCTCCGCGGTGCAACTGGATTGGTTTGCACTGTTTTCTGCAAAAATAAAATAAAATATAAAGAGTAAAAGTGTAAGGAAAATTCGGGAGATATTTCTGAGTACGTTGATTTCACTGGGCTTCAGGCTTGAGTTGCTTAAATTTCAGGGCACAGATATTTTAATTGTATTTAACGACGGGCTTGGTTCCTTCGATTTTGTTGCAGTTGTTTCATTTCTGCCTCGGAGCGACTCAGTTTTAGGAACCAAATACTCCTCTCGAGAGAAGGCGTTAATACCGCCCTTTCTGAGAAGAAGAAAGTAAAAGTGAATGGAAGGTAATTTAGAAAACAGGGCTCCTCGCGGCTCCTAACTTTCTCCGAATTACGTCATAAATCCGCTCCGATTTATTTCTGGGGTGGGGGTGGGGGATTGTGCAGGAGGATTTCCAAGTCGATCGCTCCCAGAATCTATTCAAGAAGAGCAGTTCGATAGCTGCATGTGTGAACTCTGACTGGAATCGTTCATTCGTTTATAATCGTACTGAAAAATAAAGACAAAACCAAACCGGCTACTTTTTCCAGCTAGAAAGCTGTAATCACGACGACTGAACGAATCCTGTATTGCTGAGAGCAAAAGAATGTGACAGGAAATAATGGAACGAAATAGTTCCATGCAGATAAATTTATTTTAATAAGATGGTGCTAAATAAATTTTAGAGAATTAAATGCTAATCATATGACACCCCCCCCCCCCAAATTTAGCATAACCTGAAGTCAATGAGTTTAGGGCCAGTAAAGGCACTAAACTAGAAAACGGGAGACCATGCATTTTAGTCCCACTTTAGCCATGAAAGCCAGCTGGGAGACCTTGGGCCAGGCTCTGTCTCACATCTTTGAGGTGGATTGAGCTCAATCCACCTCAAAGGGTTGTTGTTGTGGGGAAAATAGGAGGAGGAAGGCAGTGAATATGTTCACTGCCTTTAATGATTGGTAAAAATAATAAAGGGACATGGTTCCATTTTCAATTTCTATTGTTTTCTACAGGAGAGTTAAATACTTCTTTAAATCTTTCCTAGTTTCCTAGAACATGATGTAAATAATTCTGAGACTGGTTGGGTTGTGCCCCGAATTAGTTTGGCCCATTTCATTATTTGTGGTTGTAAAAATAGGCAGATTTTATAATCATCACAAAGGAAATGATCAGGCCAATCAGATTATCTACATATGGTTATTTTCTATTCTGTTTCTGATCAAAGTTACTATGATAGGACCTGGACCTTAGTTGTGATTCAAGAAAGACTGGTACTCAAAGACATAGTGTTATTTTCCTGCTTTATTGGAACTCTACATGTTAATGAAAATAAATGTTTTAATTCATATTCATCCAGTGGTAGTGTAATGCTACACATTTATAGGAAGGGTAAAAAACCTGTAATAGTTAAAGAGACTACCATCTTTTTATCTATCTATCTATCTATCTATCTATCTATCTATCTATCTATCTACCTATGTCTATGTAATTTGCTTTCTGTCACCCAAATGTCTAAGAGGTGTTTGTCATGATTTGATGTTGAAGAAAGACTGCTTCTTTATTTCCCCTCATCCCAATATACATGAAGCATTTTGGGGGGATAATATTTCTGATAAGCAACAATTTTAATCTGGAATTCTATTGATGCTTGAATAAAGTAGGACTTATTTCTGGACTATAGATCAGACATACATAGTTCTCTTCTCATGTCACTGAATATAATGACATATTGCAGACAACTGGAGTTATTTCCCTAAATGAAGGTCTCCCTTCCACAAACAAAATTAGATAAAAAAAGAATTTCCAGGCGGAAAAAGAATTGCTATATCTTAGATTAGGGAATACTTGAATATAATGCATCTGAAATCTTGTATGTATCATCATGTTTACACACATATATCCCAGTAGCCGCATCCACAGTTACCTTGACAAAGCTATATCTCTGATTTGAAGCTGGCTTTTATTTGATTTTTTCTCTGCATTTGTAGTGTGGACAGTATAGGAAATTGAGTGTGTGTGGGAAGTTTAGTAAATCACTTCCATAATCAAGAAATCTATATGGTTAAGTCCATGAAATAACCAAGAATTAAGCTTGGCTCAAAGGAGAAATGACCATTACTCTGTATGGTAAACAAATTTAAAAATAGTTTTAATT